AACATGGATTAGCGATGCATGGGTTTGGCGCGCGGCCGCCAACTCCCTGGATCGGGGGAGGTGCCCTCCCCAAAGTGCCACGTGGTGCCGCCTCGCCCAGCGGCGGGAAATCCGCGATTTCCCATGGAAGCGGGACCCGTCGCTAATCCACGCCCCCCTTGCTCCATGCTTGCGATCGCCTGAGCTCTTGGTCCAAGTTGAGCAGTCGGCTTCCCCCTGTCCGCTCCAGCTCCGGGCTGGCTGCCCACTGCGCAGGGGAGGAGGCCCGGGAGGCGCTCCCCCTGCACGGGCGGGCGAGAAGCCAAGGGGGGGGGGCCAATCTGGCGCCCTCCATCGATGGAATCCGGGCAGCCGGCATCGGAAGGTCGCGCCGCAGCGCAGATGCACCGGGCATACATCGAGTGCGGGCGCGGCCGCAAGAAACCCAACCCTGAAAACCCGCGCGCGAGGTGCAGCTCGGGGGAAACCCAGAGCACCCTGAACGCAGCAGCTTCTTCAACGGCTGCGGGAAGTCACCGCGCAGCTCGCGGAACGAAGAAACCCAGGGTACCCTGGCGAAAAGCGCTCGGTTTCTTGAGGCGCGCCCCCACTTTAGGCGATGCATCGGAAACGTCGGCAAGGCATCGGCGCCCTTCGAGTGGGGGAAGTCGGGCCCCACGAGCCGCATCGCCGATGCACCGGCGACATGCGGTGCGAGCCTCCTGTCCCATGTGCTTCGGCCCCACCTGGGGGGCAGCACCGCTGCCAGAGGCAGGGGGCCCCGAGCAGCGGCACTGCTGACAAGGGGTTTGAGAACTCCGCCTGGAGAGAACGCGTACACCCTTGCCTAGAGTCAAGAAAGCCTGACGCTAAGGAAACAGACTTCAGACCAAGCGCTTTCGTGAAGAGCAGTCCAGGTCCAAATGCATGATCACTCGACAACAAAAATGCTCCAAGAAAACGCCCAGGGTCCAATCAAGATTCTCGACCTTCTTAAACAGAATCTGGAGTTCATGGGAACTGCTGCTTTTTTGCATGAAGATTTCTGCTTGGCGTGATGGAGAAGACTTAGTCGGTCCATGGTGCAGAGGGCCCTGACGAACAGCTGCCGCCGCCGGGAAAGCAGCTGAGAAGCAGCGGGCGGCTCTCCTCGGGGGCGGCCACGTGTTGGGGCGGAGCGGGGGCCCTAACGTGCCCATTCAGGGCCCTTCTCTCAGCCACCACCCCTCTGGGCCACCCCCCAGTACCACCCGCCCGAGAGGGAGGAATGGGGGGGGGACTTCCCGGCGTGTCGGTCGCCCCCCTTCCTCTGCCTCGCCTGCCGTCTATTCCGCCGACGTGTTTCTGGTCCGCCCCCCCCACCCCACGCCTAGCAGCAGGCAGGGCGAGAGGGCTTCGATGGCGTCGGGAGTCACCCAAAGACTGCCACCAGCGTCAGCATCAGGAGGAGGAGGATGAAGGAGGTGGGTGGAGAAGGAGGTGGAAAGGACGGCAGGGAAGAGAGTGAGGAGGCGCAAGTGGGGGGAGGGAAGGACGGGGGAGGGAGGAGGAGCGGGAAGGCGGAGGGGAAAGAGAAGGAGGAGGAGGAGGAGGAGGAGGAGGAAAAGGAGGATGAGGAGGAGGAGGAGGAGGAGGAGGAGGAGGAGGAGGAGGAGGAGGAGGAGGAGGAGGAGGAGGAGGAGGGAGGGGGGACCAGAGTAAACCCATGATGTATCCACGAGCTTGCAGTACGTCGTCCTGTCCCGAGTCCCCTCCTCGCTGGTCCCCAAACACGCGCTCCCTGTCGCTGTGCGAGGCCTCCTCCCTGAACGGCGAGCGCCCAACGGGCCCGCTCTGTCCTTCGCGCTGTTAGGCATTCGGCGAGCGCGTGCAGGGCAGTGCCCAGCGACAGCCGCCCAGCTCCGAGGAGTGACCGCCCTCCCTCCGTGCGGCGGCTGCACACAGCTTGAGCTTCTGGTCGTGCAGCCCCACGCGAGAGTCCCATCCCGACCTCCGTCGGCGCAGCTGCTCCGACATGCCACAGGTGCGGTACGATCTCACGAAGTCGTACGAACAAGCTAGCGGACTCGAGCGCGAGAGCCCATCACCGCGGTAGCATTTGTTCGGGAAGTCCCACGCGAGATCCTAATGTTGAACAGGGGCCGCCCTACATCCGCGCAGCTGTTGCTGTTAGAACGAATGTGAGCCGCTAGTGCTAAAGCCGCATGTTGGAACCCAGGCCTCCGTATGTGTATATGTTGGATTTGGGAGCGTGCGCGGCGCCAAAGCGAGAGCCACACGTTGACAACGATCTGCCCTTCGTCCGCGCAGCTGTTAGGAATCCTACGCTTCCACATCGTCAACGGTGAGGTATCAGGCGAAGAGCCTAGCCGCCATGACGACACGTCTGATGGTGCGACGGGGGGGGTATGCATAAGAAAGAGGGATGGAGGAGGATGGAGCACGAGGGGGCGCACGAGGGGACAAGAGGGGATTGGAGAAGGCACGGGAGGAGGACGAGGAAGAGGAGGACGAGGAGGATAAGGATGAGGATGAGGAGGAAGAGGAGGAGGAAACGGAGGAACGCACGTGGCTTAAAGGCAAAACGGAGAACGAAGAGGAGAAGGAGGAGGAGGAAGAGGAGGAGGGGGGGAGGTGGAGAAAGGGAAGAGGGAAAGGGAGGAACGCTCAGATGAGTTCGACGGCAGTATCGGTGGGCGGAAGAGGAGGAGGAAGAGGAGGAGGAGGAGGGGGAGGAGGAGAAGGAGGAGGAGAATGAGGATAAGGAGGAGAAGGAGGAGGAGGAGGACGAGGGGGAGAACGCCGAGGAAGCGGGGCTGCCCGCCACTGCAGCTGGAGACTACTGCCGAGGACCCCAAGACTGAAGTTTCTCCGGAGCTTAGGCTCGCCGCACTCGCCCCCCCGTGGCGCAGGCCCTGGGATGGGGCCCGCGGTCGGGCGAAAACGACGCGACCATCAGATCGCCCGGCTTGGAATGGCAGGAGCGGTCAGCATCGAATCTACGAGTCGGACCGGATCGGAACAAGTATCGAATCGGGCCGCATCGGCACGGAGACAAAGTCGAGTCGGATCGGCCGCGCTGGGATGCACAAGAAGGCCACGCAAGCATCAGGACGCATCGGATCGTCGGAATATCGGAATCGACTCGGATTAGGCTGTCCGACATCGATATCGAATCGGATCGACCAGGTCGAAATGGGTCCTGAATGACCATGAATGCCCTCCGCAGAGACGTATTGGATTGTTGGATCCTCTTGTGGCCCCTTAGGGTCGTCCAGGTGCAATCTTGGGGCCTGCTGGGGGTCATCACGGACCTAACTCCTGGTCATCCTGGGCTGCCAAAAGTCCCCGATACCGCTACTCACCGGACCTCTCCTGGGGTGCGTTCTGACCAAAATTTCGAGGCGAATCCAGCGGTGGCGACGGGGGCCGCCCAAAAATGGGAAAACGAGGGAATGGTAGCGGTATGGGTACCTTTTCCTCCTCTGATCGGGGCCACCTTCGCCCACCTTGGGTCCTCGTGAAACCATCTCGGAGCCACCCGAAACCGTTCTTAGCCACCTTGGCTCCTCGCACCTTCCCTCGCTTTCCGAGTCCTGCTGCTGCTCCTTCTCTGCCTCGTGCGGGAGTGCCGCGCTGGAGCGCCCCAAGGAACGCCAGAGACTGACGGAGGTGGCACGGAGGAGGGGCATCCCCTCCCCGTACTTTCCCCTCCCCCCGCTTTCCCCTCCCCAATGAACGCCATAGACTGACGGAGGTGGCACGGAGGAGGGGCATCCTCTGGCAAACTGCAAAACTCTTGTCCTCTCCCCCTGCTATCCCCTCCTCCTCCTCCGCTTCCTCCTCCCTCCTCCTCCTCCTCCTCCTCCTCCTCCTCCTCCTCCTCCTCCTCCTCCTCCTCCTCCTCCTCCTCCTCCTCCTCCTCCTCCTCATGCATTCTCGTCTCCTCCTCCTCTCTCTGCATTCTCGTCTCCTCCTCCTCCTGCATTATCGCGTTCTCCTCCTCCCTCCTCCTCCTCCTCCTCCTCCTCCTCCTCCTCCTGCTCCTCCTCCGCCTCTCCTCCTCCTCCTCTCCTCCTCCTTCCTCCTCCTCTCCTCCGTCTCCTCCTCCCCTCCTCCTCTTCCTCCTCCTCCTCCTCTCTTCCTCCTCCTCCTCCTGTCTCCTCCTCTCTTTCCTCCTCCTGCTTCCTCCTCCTACTCCTCCTCCTCCTCCTCCCTCCTCCTCCTCCTCCTCCTCCTCCCCTCCTCCTCTCTCTGCTTCGCTCGCTCCTCCTCCTCCTTCTCCGCTCCTCCTCCTCCGCTCCTCCGTCCCTCCTGCCGCTCCCTGCTCCTCGTGCTCCTCCTCCTCCCCTCCTTCTCCTCCTACCTCCTCCTGCTCCTGCTGCTGCTGCTGCTGCTCCTCCCTCCTCCTCCTTCATTATCACGATCACCACACCATCACAGCACCACATCACTCATCAATCATCATCATCATCATCATCATCATCATCATCTCCATCAGCAGCATCATCATCATCATCATCATCATATCATCATCATCATCATCCATCATCATCATCATCATCATAATCATCATCGGTCACCATCATCATCATCATCATCATCATCATCGTCATCATCATATTCATCACATTCATCAATCATCCTGAGCAGGTCAACATCAGCAGCCTCATCGAATCATCAGCATCAACATCATCATACATCATCCGCATCATCACCACCATCAACACCCACCCCACCATCAGCATACTCATACATCATCACACCGTCATCTCATCATCACTCACCATTCAGCATCTCAGCGATCATCAGCATCATCTCAGGCATCATCATCATCATCATCGTTTTCCTCCTCCTCCTCCTCTCCCTCCTCCTCCTCCTCCTCCTCATCCTCATCCTCCTCCTCCTATTCCTCCTCAACCTCCTCCACCTCGTACTCCTCCTCCTCCTCCTATTCCTCCTCCACCTCCTCCACCTCGTCCTCCTCCTTCTCCTCATCCTCCCGCATTATCGCCTCCTCCTCATCATCATCATCACCATCATCGTCATCATCATCATCACCATCCTCCTCCTCCTCCTCCTCCTCCTCTTCCTCCTCCTCCTCCTCCCCCTCCTCCTCCTGATGAGAAATGAAAGCAGCAGGGTGCCTTTGCCCTAGCTGCTGTTTGAAACAGCGCGTAGCGCTGTTCACACCTCGGGAAGCCCCCGGGCCGCAGGAGGCCTGGGCGCGAAGAGGGGAAAGGGCCGGTGGTCCACAGGACTGGACCGGAGCTAATTAGAACGGCCGTCAGCACACAGGGGACCACCACCACCACCAGGAGGGGAAGGATGGCGTCAGCGTCGTCGAAGTCCGTCCCACCGCCCGCCAGGCCGCCGCCCGCCGGAGGGAAAGGGGAGGGAAGGGGGGGGGACCCAGGTGGGCCCCAGGCGGAGAGATCGCGTCCCCGAGCGAGCGCCAGCCCACCAGCCGAGGCCAGCGAGCGCCTGCATGTTGGCGATGCCGAGGCGGCACGCCATCGCCTGCAGCTGAGCCCGACGCTGAATCGAGCCCCCGGCAGCCTTAGTGATCCAACCCGTTTTCGCCGTGACGCGGGGCTGGGCCCCCACCAGGCGAGGCTGGGCTCCTCCTCCTCCTCCTCCTCCTCCTCCTCGTCGTCCTCCTCCTCCTCATCCTTCTCCTGCCTCCTCCTCCTCCTCCTCCTCCTCCTCCTCCTCCTCCTCCTCCTCCTCCTCCTCCTCCTCTTGCTCCTCCTCCTTCCTCGTCCTCCTCCTCCTCCTCCACCTCCTCCTCCTTTTCCGCCTCCTCCCCTCCTCCGCTCCTCCTCCCTCCCTCTCTCCTCCTCCTCCTCCTGCCTCCTCCTCCTCCTGCTCCGCCTCCTCCTTCCTCCTCCTTCCTCTCCTCCTCCTCCTCTCTCCGCCTGCTCCTCCTTCTCCTGCTCCTCCTTCTCTCCTTTTTTCCCTTCCTCCTCCTCCTCCTCCTCCTCCTCCTCCTCCTCCTCCCTCTCTCCTTGCCTCCTCCTCCTCCTCCTCCTCCTCCTCCTCCTCCCTCCCTCCTCCTCCTCCTCCTCCTCCTGCTCCTCCTCCCCTCCTCCTCCTCCTCCTCCTCCTCTCCTCCTCCTCCTCCTCCTCCTTCCTCCTCCTCCTCCCCTCCTCCGCCTCCTCCTCCTCCTCCTCCTCCTCCTCCCTCCTCCTCCTCCTCCGCCTCCTCCTCCCTCCTCCTCCTCCTCCTCCGCCTCCTTCTCCGCCTCATCCTTCTCCTCTGCCTCCTCCTCCTCCTCCCTCCTCTCTCCTTCTCCTCCTTCTCCTCCTTCTCCTCCTCCTCCTGCCCCTCCTCCTCCTCCGTCTGCTCCCCATTTTTCCTCCTCTTGCTCCCCCATCCTCCTCCTCCTCCTCTTCTCCTCCTCCTCCTCCTCCTCCTCCTCCTCCTCCTCCTCCTCCTCCTGCTCCTCCTCCTCCTCCTCCTCCTCCTCCTCCTCCTCCTCCTCCTCCTCCTCCTCCTCTCCCTCCTCCTTCCCCTCGGATGAGGAGGAAGTGGTGCCGGTATCGCAACCCCCGTGACACCCAGAGGAGCCGCCTGCCGCGCACGGATCTGCTGCAGCACGGCGTCGCGCAGCGAGACGGTCCTCCTCAGCGCGTTCTGGATTCGCCTGGCGCCGCAGGGCTAGAGGAGCAAACACTGTATTAATGCAAGCAAAGAACCTATCCAGGTCCATCGCCCGCGGAACCCAGGTCCTAGGACCTCGGGGGCAGTGGATCAGACCGAGGGGGCCGAACGGTCATTCACTGTCCCTGGCCGCGTGGCTGAAGTGGAGTTCCGCGAAGCGGATTCGGCATTTTATTGGTGCGTTGTTGTTGCTGCTGTTGTTTTTGTTGTTGCTGTTGCTGTTGCTGTTGTTGTGGTAGTGATGGTGGTTGTTGCGGTTGTTGTAAGGGTTGAACTCTCATTTCTGAAGAATAATGTTTGTTGGTCCCCCCACCCGTGCATACTGTTTTCTCTATGTCAAAATGTGCCCCTCGACGCTCGCACTCTGTTTTTTACAAGGAAAATCTTGATGCTCAAACTGGGCCCCTGGCCCCCCGGATTGCAACAACAACGGCTCCCGCCTGAGACTTCCTCAAATTTACTCAGAGCCCCCGCTCCTGAGACTTCCTCACAATTTACTCAGGATCGGTGTTCCCGCCTGTGACTTCCTCACAATTTAATCAGGACCCCCACTCCCATCTGACACTTCCTCACAATTTACTCCGGAACGGCGCTCCCGCTTGAGACTTCCTCGCAATTAAATCAAGACTTCCTCGCAATGTAATCAAGACCCCCGCTCCCGTCAGAGAACCCTTCACATTTTATTCAGGGATTGCGTTCTCGCCTGTAACATCCATACAATTTACTCAGAAGTCGCGCTTTCGACGCTCAGGAAACACGCTGCGCCAAGGATCCCGCTACAAATTACTTAGTAATCGTGCTCTCGCCATACTCGAGCATCCCGCTTGAATGTCCCACCCGCCCGACCCGCCCGTCAGGGGATCGCCCGCCCGTCGTGGGTTCCCGCCCGAAACTCCCTTCAGGAACGGCGCTTTCGCCTAGGACTTCCTCGAACGTTCACGCTCTTATCTTCCTGCTCCTCCTCCCTCTCCCTCCTCACTCCTCTCCTCCCTTCTCTCTCCCTCCTCTCCTCCATCATCCTTATGCCTCTCTGCCCTATCCCCTCTCCCTCATCTCCCTCCTCCCTTCTCCCTCTCCTCTCCTGCCTCCTCCATCCCTCTTTATTTCTTTCTTTCTTTCTTTATTTCTCTCTCTCTCTCTCTCTCTTTCTCTCTTTCTCTCTCTCTCTCTCTCTTTCCCCCCCCCCCCTCTCTCTCTGTCTCTCTCCCTCTCTCTCTACCTTTCTTATATGTAGTTTGTTTTGTTTTCTTTCTCTTTCTCTCTCTCTCTCTCTCTGTCTCTCTCTCTCTCTCACTCTCTCTCTCTCTCTCTCTGCCTCTAATCAACTGCCCCCCTCTTCGCTCCTTCTCTCCTGGCGTTTTCCCTCTTCCTTCGTCCCTCCCCCTCCCTTCCTCCCACTCTCCCTCGTTCTTCCCTTTTTTGCAGGGCCCACACCAATTCCAGTGGCGGGCACATGTACGCCCACGAAGGACTGTCCGCCCGTTCAGGTTTGCCCGCCTGTCTAAGCCCGCCGCCCCCCGCAAAAAGAGAAAGAATCACCCCTAAAGGGGGTGTGATCGAAGACAGAAAGGGCAGGTATCGAGCGTGTGGGGAACTCGTTTTGAATGACACGCGGGCAAGTAAGAGCGAACAATATTATAATGGTTGTTGTTGCTGCTGCTGTTGCTCTTGCTGTTGCTGTGGTTGGTGTCGTTGTTGTTGTTGTTGTTGTTGTTGTTGTTGCTGTTGTCGCTGTTGTTGTTGCTGCTATTGCTGTTGTTGATGATGTTGTTACGGTTGTTACTGTCGTTATTAGTGTTGGTGTTGCTGTTGCTGTTGTTGCTGTTGTTGTTGTTCGTTGTTGCTGTTGTTGGTGGTGTTGTTGAATGTGGTTGATATCCGGAAACGGTTCCGCGCGCTCTCGCCTTGACGCCGGCTACATTTTCTCTGAAAACGGGGCTCCCGCGCAAACGTTGGCTTGAGTGTAATTAAAATGTGCCCTTAGAGGCCCGGCTACGACGACAGCGGCTCCCGCCCGATATTTCCTCACACTTTACCCCGAGACACCCTGGCCAGAGAGGCCCCCGAACTCAGGAACGGCGCTCTCGCTCGAGACCTTTCTCGCAATCCCACCAGCCCTTTAGGGCGTCGGTGGTTTAAGGAGTTTCCACCCCTCCTTCTTCCCCTTCGGGGAGGGGTTTACCCCTCCCCCTACCCCCTCCACACTGACCTGGACAGGGGGTTCCGCGGCGCGTTGGAGCGCCCAAGATCGACCCCTGGGAGGGCTAAAATTCGACACCCCTCACGAGGATCGTGGCTCCTGAGGGGGGGGCTGAAATTTAGGAACCCCTCTTCTTTGATCGATTTTCTCCACGATGGCCGCAAGAGGCCCCCAGGATGCCCCAAGAGGCCGCAGGATGGCCCCAAGATGGACCCAAGAGGCCCCCCAAGAGGCCCCCAGGAGGCCCCCAAGAGACCCCCAAGAGGCCCCAAGAGACCCCCCAGAGGCACCCAAGGTGCTCCCAGAGGCCCCAAGATGGCCAAGAGGCCCCAAGAGGCCCCCAGGAGGCCCCAAAGAGGATTCCAAACGGCCCACAGAGGCCCCCCCGAGGCACCCAAGACGCCGAAAAGCCCCTCAGGACGACCCTCTACTCGCCTGGGCGTCGTTTCTGGACGGGCTGGTGGGGATACGCGAAGCGTCTAGAATTCAATCAAGTTGGCGGAGACCCAACCACGACGACAAGGGTTCCTGCTCGATACCTCCGCACGATTTACTCCGAGAGCCCCTGGCCAGGAAGGCACCCGAACTCAAGAACGGCGCTCTCGCTCGATACTTCCTCGTGATTAAATCAAATTGGTGGAAGGCCAACTACGACGACAAAGGCTGTCGCCCGATACTTCCTCAAGATGTATTCGCCGAATCCCCCTTGCCAGAGAGGCCCCCGAACTCAAGAACGGTGCTCGCTCGAGATTTTCTCGAAATTCAAGCAAGTTGGTGGAGGCCCATACACGGCGACAAGAATTCCTGTTCGATATTTCTCAATATGTATTCCGAGATCCCTGGCCTGGCTATAGAGGCCCCCGAACCCAGGAACGGCGCTCTCGCTCGAGAGTTCCTCGCGCTGCAGTCAATGGCCGACAAAGGAAGATATTCCCCCCGGAAGGGGGGTGCGATCGAAGAAAAAGTGGGCGGGTATCGAGGGTTGGGGTATACAGACTGCAAAACACGCGTGCCAATAAGAGCGACAGTATTAAAATTATTGTTGGACTCTCATGACTGAAAAAAATTGGCGATCCCCCCTTCCGGTGACCATTGTGTTTCTTAATTGAAAACCTTCCCACGGAGCTCGCACCCGTTTTTTTTCGTGAGCGAAGAATCAAACTGAGTTGTAGGCCCCCGGATTACAACAACAACGGCTCCCGCCGGAGACTTCCTCACAATTTAGCCAGGACCCCCGTTCACGCTGGAGATTTCCTCGCGATTTACTCCGGAAGCGCACTCTCGCTTGGGACTCCCGTACAATGTATTCAGGAATCGCTCTCTCGGCGTTCTGGAATCGCGCTCTCGCTGGAGACTTGCTTGCAATTTACTCAAGAATCGCGCTCTTGCGTTGGAATTCCCCGCAATTAACAAAAGCGCCGCACTCCCGACACTCAAGCACCCAGGAGTCGCGCTCACGCTTACGACTGCCTCACAGTTTACTAATTTACGAATCGGGATCGCGCTGCCCTTCGTGGCCCTGTTGCAGCCCTTCGTGGCCCCCTCGCTGCCCTCGTGGACCCGTTGCAATTCTTTGTGGCCCCCTCGCTGCCCTTCGTGGCCCTGTTCCAGCCCTTCGTGGCCCCCTCCTCGCCCCTCGTGGCCCCGTTGCAATCCTTCGTGGCACCCTCGCTGCCCTTCGTGGCCCCGTTGCAGCCTTTCGTGGTTCCCTCGCTGCCGTTCGTGGACCCGTTGCAGCCCTTCGTGGCCCCCTCGCTGCCCTTCGTGGCCTCGTTGCAGCCCTTCGTGGCCCCCTCGCTGCCCTTCGTGGCCCCGTTGCAACCCTTCGTGGCCCCCTCCCCCGTTGCAACTTTTCGTGGCAGCCTCGCTGCCCGTCGTGGCCCCGTTGCAACATTTCGTGGCCCCCTCGCTACCCTTCGTGGCCCCGTTGCAACGCTTCGTGGCCCCCTCGGTGCCCTTCGTGGCCCCCATCGCTGCCCGTCGTGGCCCCGTTGCAATCCTTCGTAGCACCCTCGCTGCCCCTTCGTGGCCCCGTGCAGCCCTTTTGCTCCCTCGCTGTCCTTCGTGGCCCCGTTGCAGCCCTTCGTGGCCCCCTCGCTACTTTTCGCGGCCCCGTTGCAGCCCTTCGCGGCCCACTCACTGCCCGTCGTGGCCCCATATATGTATGCCCTTCGTGGCCCCCGTTCATTCGCGCCCGTCGTGGCTCAATGCGCATGCGCTCCGTGGCCCCGCCGTCGCCCCCCTTCGCGGCCCCCTCGCTGCCTCTCGTGGCCCCGTTGCTGCCCTCAGCGGCCCCGCCCTTGCCCTCTGCGGCCCAATCTACGCATGCCCTTCGTGGCCCCCGCTCGTTCGCGCCTGTCGTGGGACCATATGCGTGCCCTTCGTGGCCCCGCTGTCGCCCTTTGTGGTCCCTCGCTGTCCTGCGTGGCCCCGCTGTCGCCCTTCGCGGGCCCCGTTGTTGTGGCCCCGTCGTTGCCATTTGTGGCCCCGCATTATCTGCCCTTCGTGGCTCCATACGCATGCCCTTCGTGGCCCCGTTGCAGCCCTTCGTGGCCCCGCTGTCGCTCTCGCTCTCGCTCTCGTTTTCGCTCGTCGTCGTCGTCGTCGTCGTCGTCGTCGTGGTTGCTCCCCTGTCCGTCCCTCTTGGGGTCGAGTTGCCGCCGATCAGCGCTGCCGCTGGCCAGGCCGACGGTCCGCGGCCGCCCCGCCGCTTGCCGGGGCCCAGCCTTCAGGAAAGAAAATAGACCCCCCAAAAGAGGTACGATCGAAGACGAAGACGGCGGGTATCGAAGGTTTGGGAAATACGCGTTGAATGACACTCGAGCAGATAAGAGCGAGCAGTCTTAAAATGATGGTTGTTGTTGAATTTTCATTTCTGAAGAATAATTGTTGCTGATCCCACCCCACCGATGCATACTGTTTTTTCTCAATCAAAGTGTGCCCCTCGACGCTCGCACCCTGTTTCTTCACAAGGAAAGTCTGCATGGTAAAACTGGGCCCCTGGCGCCCCAGACTACGACAACAACAACAACAACAACAACGGTTCCCGCCTGAGACTTCCTCCAAATTTACTCAGGACCCCCCCCTCTCCCGTTTGAGATTTCCTCCCAATTTACTCAGGAACGGCGCTCCCGCTTGAGACTTTCTCACAATTTAATCTGGGTCAAACTGCATTGTTGCTCCCCCGGACTACAACAACAACGGCTCCCGCCTGAGACTTCCTCACAAGTTATTGAAGAATCGCGCTCTCGCTTTGGACTTCCTGGCATTTTACCCCCGAGCCGCGGCTCCCATTTGAAACTTCCTGACAATGTACATACTATAGAATCGTATTATGGAATCGCGCTCTCGCTTGGGACTTCCTCGCAACTTACCACCGAGCCGCTTTGCTTGATATTTCCTCCCAATTTATCCAGATGCCGGTCCTCGACACTCAGGAATCGCGCCCCCGCTACACATGGCCTCGTGGTTCAAGCATGACTCACGCTTCAACGACCCGCCCGCTCGACTCGCCCGTCGGGGCCTGCCCGCCCGACCAACCCATTAATGACTGCAGTCGCCGCTCGCTGCCCTTCGCCCGCCTTCGATGCCCCTCGCTGCCCGTGCTGGTTCCGCGGTCGCGTTCGCTCGCTGCGCTTCGTGGCCCCGTTGCTGCCT